TTTCCCTCCCATGGATAACAAACCTCACTTACCATCTGAAAAATGGAGTGATACAAGTTGGACATATTGAAATCCAAGTAAGGATTGTTACTTCCACACTTTGAAGTGGTCTGGCTAACCTCAGCCTTAGGCATTCTATCTAGTTAATCTCATCAGATGAAAATGTTATCCCCAGTGCTTTTTGAACAAAGTCTGAACTTTACCTGCTCTTCATTTTATTAGTGTAAAATAAATCTCAAAACTTTCCATTGCCAAATGTAAAGCTGTAAATGGCTTTTTTATGCTGCAAATAAAAATGCATATAAATATTCACGAATAAAACCAAAACATAACGAGAATAAGAAAAAAAAATGTAAACACAGTGTTTAAACAAATGTGCAATCTTAAAGGTACAAACAATATGCCTGATAAACCACTTGTAGAATTTTGAAGTAAGAGATACGTTCTAAAAACATCAACAAAGTTTCTAACTCTCCCCGCTGCCCCTGTTACTGCTGTTATTATCAGCAATTAAAGGCTGTCAAATGACATCTGGGAATTGATTTGTATTACACAGCAGGCGTTTGCTGTCAAAAATGCAGCCAATCCTGTGTGGAATTACACTTAAAGATGGTCAGCAAGTGTCATTATGTAAATACAGTACAGTGAAACAACGTATTGTTTTATTGTAATAATTTGTTATTCCTATGTAAAACAAAGGTGTGACCTTAATTTGTATATTTCACTTGAGGGTACTGCTGCACTCCTTACCTTACCCCTTGTGTGGAGAAGGGTGCTGAAATGACTGCGGATGGCACCGTGTACATCAAATCTTTATGAGGGTCGTGGCAAGCACACCATAAACTTGTGTCAAAGAACAATCTTCTTTATTGTCCCAAGATGTCACATTATAAAGTGCAATGTTTCAGGGGCTGCACAAGGTCCCCTTCTTCAGGCTTAACATGCCAATGTTCACGTTAAACCTGAAGAAGAGGACCCTGTGCGGCCCTGAAACGTTGCACTTTGTAATGTGACATCTTGCGTCAATAAAGAAGATTGTTCTTTGACACTTGATTTGTATATGACATCAGTTAAAGAAACCTTACAAGTAAAAACATTATTTTTAAATAAAATATATTCCTATTTAATCCCCTTTTTACCTTAACCCTGATAAGCCCCAATTAACTCCTTTCTTCCCTTAGCTATTTTTCTGAATTTTTTTTTTCTATTTCCTTTTACTGTTTTAATTATTTTTTTCTGTTTTTTGTATTATGTTTTTCAGTGTAAAATAAACAGTAAATGCATATTTAAAAAATGCCTTTGTTCATATGTAAATAACTTTGCCATGCTTTAAACTAGAAACATCATTTTAGTGTCATTTTAACATAAATGATATAATAAAATGTATACTTCTTATTTACAGTAAAATTTATTTTTTCAACGCTAGTCAAAAAACAATAAAATGCATTTTTTAATTTTTTTGTGTTTCTGTCTATAAATTACATAGAAAATAAATAAAAAATTTTTACAGGGCATTATTACCAAAAGAAGCCTAGAGTGTCCCCCAAAAACAATGCATGTAATACTTTGTTATCCTAAGTAATGACAAACTTATCGTCGAATAAACAGGCCCATAGTGGAACCTTACCAACCATAGTGGAATTAGAAAAGTTTTTCTTTTCCATAAGCGGAATACAGGTAGGGGAGCTGAAGTGGTTAAAGATACTGGACGGATTTCTAAAAGAAAATGTATTTTGCCTAAGGCAACTGGCCTTTTCTAGATGTAAACTTGTTGAATAAAAGCAGGCGTTTGAATTTTAGGATACAAGAAAAGTAACCAGCTGTAAATAGCAAAATTATGATGCAATTTATGGATTCAAGTGACATCATGCACCACAGGAATAAATTGAAACCAGCAAACCAGATGAAGGGTTATAAATGTTCAGATTTCTTTCTCACTACTCCAGACAAATGCAGAGCAACACTATTTTAATAGAAATAAAAAATCCTTTTTGTCTGTGAGATAAAACAACATTTGTTTGTCTGTGTAATCTGGAGGACCAGTAGAACATAGATAACAAGCAGTTTTACATAAAATAGCTATTAATAACTTTCACGGGTACAGATTCAGGGGCTTATTGGAATTTAAAATATTTGAAACAAATGTGATATTCCTATAGGGAAGCAAAACCAAATGACACTACAGTAGTAAGCCCCCAGCCTACAAATGCAAATAATATAAACACAGAAAATTGTCAATAGGGATGAAGTTTAGGTTTGCTGCTACCATAGCTTCACAGCAAATCCCCAGGGAATCATTAAATATGTGAATCACAAACTTTTGGCTGAAAAGTTTGCAAGTTGTTAGGTTTTTTTTGCATTGGTACATGTCCCACATGCCAGTGTCTGGCTTCCCATGCTTTTTGTTTGATGATAGCTTATTTATTAGGCCAAACAATTGGGCAGAATTAAATAACAGGATAAGTCCCCTATAGACTTTGATGGAGTCAAGCCAATCACTAATTGTCAAGTGTAATCTCCTTCTTCAGCTACAAGTACCTGAAACATATTAGGCTATCAACAAGAAGCATCTCCTTCTTCAGCTACAAGTACCTGAAACATATTAGGCTATCAACAATGTATGACAGTGCTAGCGCTTTCAATCTCAATAAAAAGTAATTAAACTACTAAGACTTAAAAAAGAAAATGCAGTATTAGGAGTAGATCACATGAACAGGAAATCCAAGAAACAGTTTTTACTGTACAAAAATACTATGTTCTTTCTTGTTCATTAAGGGACGCAGAATTCAGTTATTCTGAGACAATTGAGATGTCTAAAAGCAGCCCAACTGAAGGGTGAACAACAGTGACAAACACTAACAGGCCCACATAATGAAACTGGGGACAGCCTACAGCAAAACAGCTGCCTGCAGTACCTTGTGCCTAAAGCTGGCATCAGTTGAGTCCTGAACATGGTGAAACTTAGAGGAAGACCAGGTGGCAGTCTTGAACTCTGGAAAACTGATGCCAAAATGTCCAGGAAGCACTCACATATCTAATAGAGTGCTCTTTGACAGAAAAAGAGAGCACTCTGCCCTTAAGATCATGAGCTTGAACAATGGACTATCCAAGCCACCAAGAAATGCTAGACAAAGTCGGTTGGAATGGAAAAAAGATTGTCAGTATTTCAAATGAAAGCAGTGGTTGATAGTGAAACCCACACATGCACAATGTTCATCCAAGCAGTGAGGGGAAATTTCAGAGAGACAGAAAAACAATATCCAGGTTGAGGTGAAGGAAAGCACCTAGGGACCTCAACACCACCTTATCTTTTGTGTAAGAACAGGTTGAGTACCTTACAGGACAAGGCTGCCAGCTCAGATACATGTCTCACAGAGACGATAGCAACAAGAAAAGTAAACTTATTAGTGAGAGTGACTAGGGGAATATCCCTGATGTATTCAAAAGGCAGTCTCTAAAGTGCAGGCAGAACCAAATTTAAATCCCATGGAGTCATAGATGGTTGTACAGGAGGAACTTCATGAGACACACCCTGTAAAAAGGTCTTTGGAATAAGATTGCAAGCAGTGAGATTTGCCCCTAGATGGGTCTCAGGTCTAAATAAGGACCTCGACCTATTGCAGAAAGGCTAGGTTTATCCCCACAGAACATTTCCTGTGTGAAAGCAAAGTAAGCCTTCCATGTGCAATGGCAGACCTTATGATGTGTAGACTTTTAACAGTGTGGAATTTACCGAATCAGAGAGACCCCTCAGAGACCTGGGCTTCAAAAGCCATGCTGTTAAAGCCAGCGACCATAAAGTAGGGTGGTAAACTGATCCTTACGCTAGGAGAGCCAGTCCGTCTGGAAGAGCCCATGGGCTGTCTATAAGAAGTTTGGTTAGGGTGGAGTGCCACATTCAGCTGAGCCAATTTGAAGCTATGAGGATCACAAAAAATGCCCTTCCAGAATGCCCTTTAATAACAGGCCTTCCAAAAATGTATTAAAAATACCAATAATATATAAAATATTGTTTAGGATGTATTCATTATACTACAACTTTAAAGATATTTCTGTATTCCCATTCAAAAATACACCTCAGGGTTATACTGTACATACCATTGTAACCCCATTGTCATATTCTCTTCCCATCTTTTCTTTCTCTGCTCCCACTATTTTGTAACTGAAAGATTCCCTGTTGTAGTCAACACATAATTATGACAACACATGCAGTAGAAACAGTAAGCGTGGTCACCCAAAGTGTAATAAATGCTCAAATCTGTCGCATTGACTTTGACCACAGGCCACATAGACAGATATTAAGGACTTATGTAAAGTACACTAGGAGCAACAATTATGCAGAGATTTTCTGACATGCGGGAAAGTCTCAGCAATTAATAATGATTTCTTATTCTCTGCCAAAAAAAAAGAAAATGCTTTCACTGAGCTTTAAACATTTCCTTCAAATTGGAGAGTAAAAAAGCAGTGGGTGCCACAGTCAGGCAACTAATGAGCTGACAGGCAAGTCTCATACTGCCCATCATTCCCTGTAACAGAGCTGTCTGTCTGTGGCCACCATAAGGTTAGGAGTCTAATTGGTTAGGAAATCAACCACTTCTCAAAGAAGAATTTTTACAGCGCGACTATGACAGTTTTGAAATACAAGGCTCCCTAATCACCTTCCACCCAAATATACTTTCCTAGTTTTTGGGTGATATTTTCAAGGTGATATAATTTCAATGCATTGTTGGATTGCTGAGATTATAATACTTTGCAAGTATGATTTCCTGTAGAAGTGTATATTTTTTGATCAAGTGTAACCTGAATATGAATTGTAATAATCAATGTCTTTTTCATGTCTTTAAAAGTATACACAAAGCCAAAGACTGCAAACACAATTTTGTTTCTGAAAACTGTATTTTAATATAACAGCTTCTATAAAAAAGACTTAAGTTAAAAAATGTTTTATATATATATATATATATATATATTTAAATACTTTAAAAGTGCTTTGGGTTCGTTGCACCAACATTAAAAAATACTGCCCACACCTGGAGGAATGTTTTTTGTCTTTTTAGAAGAGCCTTTCTCCCACCTCATACTGAAGTCACTCTCATTACAACCTCACCAGAATTACTGTCCTCTATGGACTCTTCTGGAGGAGTTCTCATCCGGCTGAACAAATGTAGCAATACATATCCACATTGCAATCGAGGAGAGCTTAACTGTGTTTGGTGAACCAATGTCCGGGAGCGGAATGCAGTCAATGGCAACCATAATGTCCTACTGCTTGAAGGCACTGCACGACTGCTCTCTTCTATATCTGTTGCTTTGTCATAGTTCAGTACATCCCAGTGCAAGTTCACTGCTCTCCACCTCCTAAAAACCTTATAAACAGCAGCTCCTTCATGGATAATTAGACCTAAAATTATAGAAAATGTATGTTAGAATGATACAAGAACAAGAATTTAATTTTACACATAGAAAGAAAGTACATACAAGCACTGACAACTTAAAAATAAAAAAATATTTACTGAAAAGGATATATAAAAAACAAAAGGTTCCATTCGCTGAAGTAAATCTAAGTGCATCTTAGTGATTCTGATCTCCTTCAGCGTCTTTTAACCACCTTCTGTCTACATGCATTTGCTCTAGCACTGGCGGCTTACTAATAGAGGCAAGTGTGGACCATGCATGTGCAAATGGTATTAATAAGCGTAAGTGCCTGAACAAGAAACTGCATGGCAGGATCACAAAGAACTATTTTCATGAAAGATGCATATTTAAAAAGATTGAAAACTACTTTTGGGCGTGACATTAGCATGTTAAAAGTTTTATGACATTTTAATGATTAAATTTAGATATTTAGATACTGTATGTATACTTCACTAAGATGCTTTTTTGGTATAATAATTATTTGTACCAATGTGGCTTATTTTTTAGCTCTCATTACTAAAATGGATGGTTGTAACAGCAAATTATGGCTTAGTAAATTAAGCTAAAATGGTAAAAATATTAGTGGGCAATAAAGAAGTAAGTGTCCAACCTTATAAATTCATATGGAAATCCAAAAATAAATGCAAGCATTTCTGACATAAAACTGACTGAAAGCATTGACCAGAAAAAGAAATATAAATAACAAAATGGTAGAATGAGAGACTAATATTCAACAGACACCTTGATGGACAAAAAAGATACTCATACATGTCATGTATTTTTTAAATGTTCTAGCAAAATAAAATATGTATATTTTGCTATCTGACACTCTTATTACTATGTTCAGCAATGAGAAGCCACAAGAGCTGAAAAAAGTAAACATGTGGTTGAAGATAATGATTGTTATGGCAAGTAACACATGTTAAAGAGTAATAAATTGAGCTTAAAGATTTCTCAGCACAAGCATACTACATAAGTGCAATTTGTATGTAACCTAACATAATGGTAAAGCCAAAAGACAAAGTTTGCCTTTCTGTTTATTAGAATGGTTTACCTTTCAGTGCTACAGGATAGCACATGCAGAAGACAATTTGTCAGCATCATTTGTGAGTGTACTATAAGATAAAGTTGAAACTGTGTGGACAGAAAATGGTCTGCTTCAGTAATTTTTACAATTTTCTATTGTAAAAATACTGGATGGTATTGTACATTTTGTTAAATTGTACTAAAGGACTTCTAGGTTTTGAGCTACATTTTTGCTGTCATTGGCAGACAGTGGTTTTAACCCTCAACATTGCTGGTTCAAAATGCAGCTGCCAGAACCACTTTTTTAAGATCACTATAACTATGAAGAGCAGCCATAGCATTGTTTAAAAAAGGCAAGAAAAAAAAAAGAAGAAACAATAAATAAATATATATATACATACATACTTGTAACCAAATTGCCCATCCCTATTTGAAAAACACTGCAAAGTATGGCAGGAAAAGGGTTGGGGCTTATTGGTAGAGATTATCTAACACTTTACTTATCAGCTCCCAATACATATACTAAATATATGTTTATGTAGCTACCTACTTGGGTTTAGGTTGGGGTTAAGAGAATTGGAAGAAACACTTTCTTGCTCAGTTAATGTCAGTTAAAGTCATTAAATATGCTACTGCTACTTGTGTAGAAAGTAAGATGCTGATATTACTCTTTTGAGCCTGCACATGTTTATCTGTGCCACCCTTGGATTTTAATTTTACTTTATTACTGGGATCTGACATGACTGCCAACTGCCATTCCACTGTTAAGGGTAGTTTTAGTGGATGGGAACTAATAGTTGGCAGGGCTTAGTAATGGAGGTTAGGGAAATTCAAGCCCCAGTAACAAAGTGACAGCTAATCAGAGAGGGCAATAGAAGAGATTGTCCTGGCCAGTAAAGGTATTACCAAGCAGGATATCAGGCAGCGTGTGTGCTTATTAAAGTTTAAAACAGCACAGGTTCACTTTATAGAAAAGCTTCTTATTCACTGAGCCTAGCTATTTTTCATTCGCACATACAGGGGTTTTCTGCACTGATGTACTATAACCTAAGCAGGGATAGCAGAATTACAATAGTATTTGGAGTCTGGCCTCTGCTTTGGATATTCTACCTAAACTAGAAATATCATTATTTAGAGGTTGGCCTTTAGAAGATGGCAATATACCTCTTGTAGACCACTTAACCCAAACTAAAAAGAAAAAAAGGTGAACTGATCCTACCAAAAGTTTGTTTGAAAATGATCTTTTTCTCCTTTAGTTCTTGGATTCCAGGGTATGTGTCCTTACACACACTGACTCAGCTGCAACAGCTTCCACAGGAGTTCAGACTATTTGCAGGCTATTCACTTTGAGTAAAGAAAACTATTGGATTCCATCCCTGGGCTACCTGTGACACCCTTTCTCTGCCAGAACTAGAATATAGCCATAAATGCCTCAATACGATTGTTTTCTGTCTTTATGCCCCTGAAGCACTCTGTACACTAAATGAGCACCAGAGATATGTGCTAGGAATAAATTAATGGCTGAACACTTTAAAATATGCAGTGTATATGCTAGCATTTATAGGAATTTGAATATAATTGGTAGTGTTATAATATTTTTTGTTTAAATGCAGTGCTCTCAACTGAAAATCTGTAGGACTATAATACACTATAATGTTGTCCTGAAATGACACACTTGACTTTCTGTATATTTTTTTAATTAACATAACATGTTTTTAAAGATGTGTTTGCGATGCTCTTAAAATGTCATTCATTGTAGCTTGTGAGAGACCTCTCTTTTATCCATTCTGTTATTTCCCTTAGCTGTGGCTGCTTATTGACTAATTCTGTATTAACTGTAAAATGATATTTGAATGGCCTGCAGTAACTCATGCACTTCCCATGATTTCTGACCAGCTTGGTAATTACTAATGATAATCTAAGAGATTTAATGATGTACGCGCTGCTGTGAAAATGTCAATAAATGTCACACATTGTCTTTCAAGGCTTTGCATTAATTAATATGTTTCTATAATGAAGTAAATGTGATTTGTAAGTGTGTTTTTCTTACAAGGTACATGCGTACTTTATAGCAATTACTTTATGTCTTATAAATGATCTAACAACTTACTTTTTATGCAAATTTTAAGATTAGATGAATTATTAGTATGGGAAGCTTGTGTTATTGCGATAGCATTAACGACGTTATACAAATACACATTACAGTTTTGTGAAATTTCACTATAGGCCAAACTAAATCCATTTAAGACTCACAAATGATAGATAGATAGATAGATAGATAGATAGATAGATAGATAGATAGATAGATAGATACTACTAAATGTAAGAAGGTTCCCAAAAATACCTGTATATCTCCTATATTTTGCAGTGTACTGGTGTTAGTGGAGGCGGGGGGCAGTCTTTAGGGCAGTGTAGGATACGGTCCACCAACTTTTAGTTGCAAGGTTGCAATAAGTATATTTAAGAAGCAGGACCTGAATGAGGTGTATAATGCACCTGTGGCCAGTCTATGGATCTTAAATCATTTACATATTCTAAGCAGCAAAAGTGCTTTAAAACAAGTCATTCATGGCCTCTTTAGCTGCATGAAGTAAATAATTCTCAAAAATTGACAACAAAGACTCTAAGATCTGGTTTCAGTCATTTTCTAACAAATTATAAATAACTGTTGTTTGTTAACAATAGAAGGCTGGCAGACTTCCAAGATGCTGCTGCCATTGAAAGTTAAAGGAAAAAGAGATGCGATTTCAGTTATAAATAAATACATTTGTAGTATGAATTTATCCACATTGCCAATAGCTACAGAGGTGAGTGGGGGATTGTTCTAACATGTGTCTACTGCTTGTTTAGAATATGTTAATCACTTTATTGTTCATAGTCTGGTCACTGATTCACTTTTACTTTAACTGGAAACCAACAAATATTGTTAAATGCAAGGCTTTATGGAATAATCCCTTGGCTGGCATCCCCACAACTATTAAGATTGTTAGCTAATATGTCTTCAGCTAAACCTAGCAAAGTTAAATTCGGCTCTCTTTGGAATTATTTTCACCTCAGAAGAACAGTTCTATCTATGCATTGTTTTTTCTCTATTTATATATGCCTTTATGTTTTGCTTTTTTATATTGAGTGTAATGGAAACAAAACACCTACCTGCTCAAATGTGATGTGCTCAACAATATACATTAATTGTACATACATTTAGATTGATGTATACTCATAAAGTTCAAATAACAATTGTAAGTAAAATGCTGGGTGTGCCAGATGGATCTCCCCTTCTATTATAAATCAAAAGCATTTCTCACCAGCAAACCATCCATGTATCAGAAAGAGACATTTATATATATGATGTTTATTGAATCATCATAGCTGACATAGTAGAAAACCAATGTTTAAGGGTCAAATAGGGCCCATTCATCAAAATAAACTTGCTGCCAGTGGTCCTGTGGCCCTAAAACATTGTTTTTCTATAATATTGATTATGGTGTTTCATTAAGAGTTTACACCTGGTACATGTATGGTGTGCTGGAGAGAAATGATTATGGTCTATTAAGGCTTCACTCACATATGGCGCTTGCGTTTTACCCGCGCACAAACACACTCAAATTCTAACATACATGTGGAATCTGTACAAAAAGATGCTCTCTTTTTGCGGGATTTCTGTTTTAGTACTGTGCGGATGCCCTAATGCGAACAATGTACATTGGAATGCATTGGTTTTTATGGTTAGTGCGTTTTCATGCGTACAAAAACGCGTGGACACCCACTAATGTGTGAATGTAGCCTAAAACATTGCATATTTGTGCCAGAACAAGACTGGCACAAAAACTTTTTCCTGTACTTGTAGAGCTGTGTGAATGTTCTGACTGAACTGATGAATATTTCTATTGCAAGGAGAGAAGGAACATAAGTACCCCATTTGCCAAAATTCAAGAATGATTGGAGTAACAAGACAGATTGCTAGCATGATTAAGATTATGCCATTGCACCCTCAAACCAATTTTAAGAGGTTTATTTTTAATATACCATTCTGTAGTAAAAGAGATTATACAACTTACCTATACACACTAGATCCATAAAACCATACATTCCATAGCAGATCTGGAAAAGGATGTCTCTTCTTTGCCAAACTGCATAAGGGCTAAATGCAGACCACAATAACCATGTGACACTAGATACTAGGAATAACGATCCAAGTATGACAGCAATCATTTGAACCTTTTCCACCAGTGTTACTGTAATGCGCTGCCACTGAAACAAAAATAGAAATCATTTAAGCAAAGAGTGGGAGTTTATAATTGCATTTTTAAACAGAAGGTTTTATGTATGATGATTCCCAACTAAAGACTAAACATTCCGGAGCTTATTACTCTTGATAATACAGAGAATTTAATAAAAGTTATAGGAATTGATGTGTCCTCAGGTTTGTTCTTGGATGCACTATATGGCAGATGAGGTGCTGTTCCACTGTTCACATATCACATTTTAATCTATCGAACTTTAAAAGTCTGTCTATTGCATAAAAGGGTCCTTGAGCATTATCTGCTAGCCATTAAGTTCACAATTCCACCTACCTGTCATTGCCATTACAAGGCAATCACAGTCTCCCTTTTGCATTTCTGTTTTATGTATACATTAAAGATAAAGTAACAGGAGAAATAAGTATTCTGCTTTTAAAGTATAGGGGGTTATAGTTTAAGCTGATTCAGGAACTTCAGAGAGGATATCTTACTTCAAAAGTCTCTATGCCACATACTTTTAAGAGATTTCACCCGACATTCAGACAAAATTCTTTAGGCAACACTCACCTATTTCAAAATTAAAAAATTGACCAACATTTACTCAGCAAAAATTACATTCCCCTACATTCAGCAACATGTGTTCTAAATGCCACAGGGAACTCTGGGGAGGTGTCTCCCATGAGCTACCTGTGACAACATTGGCCATATTTAGGCTTAGTTCAAATATGGGCATGTGTATTACTCATATTTGAACTACTACCAAATATCCCAAATATACTGTACATGTATCACCTATATTTCACACTTAGCCATAAACCTTTTCACCTCTAACATCTTTGTTCCAGTAGTCTGTGTGAAATGTATGCAATCTGCTTCAAACAGTTATATAACACAACTGGGACCCTCTTCCAAGTTTGGTGGAACAGTCCGATATTGATCTAATTTTGGACTGCGGTAGTTCTCCAGAGCATCTGAGTGTTTAGGCCCATGAGACCTAAAACATATTTGACTTTCTTTGAATCCTGATCAGAAAAAAAGTGAAAACTAATCTTTCATGGATGTTGCGCACAGCCATTATGGAGCCATCCAAAGAGGGGGTTCAAACCATTCCCAAAAGCCAACATTGGCCTGAACACAAAGAAACCTCCATGTGATAAACAGGCTTTGTGGTTATAGCAGTCCAAAATCTGAAAAAAATCAATGATGCTTCTATCAAACAATGTATCCAAAAAGCAAAATGCCAACAAGAGAAAGCAACAATTCGTATAGCCTATTTTCTCAATTTCGCATTTAACATGTATTTCTTAAGTCAACAAAACAAAACTACAGCAGTATAATAAAAAGCAACAACAAACAGAACAAATATCTAAACAGTTCCTTTCTCAAATGTCTATTTCAGTAAGTTTTGATGTTTGCATCCACTATTTGTGACACACAAGTCCAAATGAAAAAAACAAAAATCCAAGTCAAGTTTTACGATCATGCACGAGATAACAGTAACAGTCACAAGTGGATGACATACATCAATGATTATTTTAAGTGCATTACTTCAACAATTACCTAATCCATCATATTATCATTGTATGTGAGCACTACTCCAGTTATCGTGCACAGGTGCAGCATGTGAAAGTACATACCATAGACTGTTTATTCTTTATGGTTAATGCTAGTGTAAGCAGGGCCATATTAAAAGCAAAACCCCAGTTAAAATAAATCCCTTTAGTATTACAGTGGAGGTAGGTGGGGGGGTCTACGTCACTAGCAGCAAACTTCACAAAAGAGACTCAGTGCTGTAACAGAAATCTAAACCCCTTTTAGTCATGCAGAATCCTAGCACTCTGGCTGAAAGGGATGCCCCTTTTTTCACTTCTGGTTGTGTAAAGTCTTTTGGGAAAACATTGAGCCAGTTACATAATCAGAAAAAAATAAATACACTGTTATTGCAAGGACTAATTTTTTGGCTGTTTTAGAAATGTAGTAGTGGTCATATATGTTGGTACTTATTTTTATCAAAATTGGTGTTTGCTTTTAGGATTTATGAGGTTTTCTCCTTTTTAAACTCCCCATTCACTAAATGATTACTACTACAGAAATTGAATATTATATGACTGAATGTTATCTAACTTTACATCAATAATTTTACTTGTTTAACATGTTTAGGGAGGTGTATTTTTTTTTAATCTTATGTATGAATTATTAAATCATGTTAATAGATTTAAAATATTTACTCATAAGAATCTTTGAAATTATGTATTATAGCATATGATGCACAACCTTATTCATTATTTTTAATTGTAAGGATTTGGAGCCATTGGACCCTTGGAAATTATATATGTAGGGCAGCAGAGTGGCTTAGTGGTTAGCACCTCAGCCTTGTAGCACTGTGCTTGTGTGCTTTACTCTGGTTTCATCCCAAATTCCAAATACGTGCTTAATTGGCTCCTGTCTAGATAAGCCCCAATATGGGCATGTATGGATTAATGTGAATGTGCAGTATGTAATGCGCTGTGTAAATTGTCAGTTCAGTTTGAATACCAAAACTATAAAAACGATTACACAAGGGGGGGACATGTCTAGGTCAATACAATATATGACAGCTCTATAAGATAGTCAGTGCAGCAGATAAGTTAGGTGTGTCATATTTTTGATTTAAGTGATTTAGTCTAATTACTGATTTTTCACATATTAGAAAAGAGAAAACCAATGCGCGTATGTTAACATTTGCATGTTTTTTTAATAAAAACCGCACTGAATTTACAATCGCTATGTGTGAATGGAGCCTAAGAAATTTAATATTAGTTAGGCCTGGACCTAACAAACATAGTATATACAGCATCAGAGATGTATAGCCTACATAACAAAGGGTCAATTGGCCTTATTCAGGCCTTATGAACAGTATCCTATAGTAACTAGGCCTTGTCAGACTTTAGCAGGGGGAATGATTCAAAGGTTATCACAAAAAATACTGAACTGTGTACAGGCTCCCCTCAACCTCGGGCACAGTAAAGAGCCAGTTTGGACACTTCCTCACAGTGTAAAAGACTCTCCTGTCCCATATGTCCTACCAACCTGACCAAAAATCCCAGTACTATGATTGTGGCAAATACAAAGGCTGGGAAAGGGTGTCCAACCTTCAACAGTATTAGGAAAAGTGGATGTAGGCTGATTAGGGCAACCAGAGGTTTATGGGACCCGTGATTCTTTTCCAAAGTGCTGAAAGGTAAATGCAAGCAGCTCTGGGTACCTGCATTTTAGACATATGCTAAGGTTATCTTTTTTTAAGACAACCGTAGTGCAACAAATGTTCACAATTCACAGTAACCAGATGAATGCCATGTTATTTGTTTAGTAAGGTCAGGCTATTTAAAGTGGAAATGATCTTTTATGGAAACTTACATTGATCTTCCTTGGCTTAATGCAAGTATCCATATCTGATCTTTGAAATGCTGCTGGGGATGCTGAAAATAACTGTAGTAGTCTGTGCCACATACAGTGATAACTGGTTTCTTCTGGATGCAGGTCCAAGGGCTTCCCCTCTGCACACTCAATGTTCACAGTTCCTCCCACAGTCTGAGAAGGACTTCAATTTTTTTCAGTGAATACAAGGTGTTACTGTGAATGGACCAGGCGGAGATTGTGATGTCATCCACCTCTCCACCTGATCCAATCAGAGAACGCCTTGTATTCATTGAAAAACAATACAAGGAGCTCTATGAATAGGCATGGGGCCTAGCGAGCAACTCTCTGTGTTCAGTTTGAAGAAGGTAAGAGTCTGGAGATGCAGTTTAAAGAGACCAGTTTCACTATATGTGGTGCGGATGACTATAGTAATTTTCAGCATCCCCAGAGACCAACAAAAAATAATTTCTGAAGTTCAGCTTTTTAGCTAATTTCTGATTGGTTAACTGCATGTAATTGCTTCACATTGTTATTTGTTAAAGCCTAATGAATCCACTCTACTGGACATCAGAAGTCAAAGATTTTCAATACCGTGGCTATGTATGTACTGATTTTTAAACTGTCTGTACATATAGATGCAGATGGTTTGCCTTACCTGACAAGGTTTCTTCATTTTAATAGCTATGACTTGGTATCTGTAGCAGCATAGTTCACAGGTCCACGATCCTCTTTCACTAATCCATTTTAAAAGGCAGAGTTGATGAGTGTACCTTACAGACCCATTACATCGACATGGATTAAGTAATTCACCCTTAAGTAAAATAAACAAAAAAAAGAAATTAGGAAATGTCAGGGAAAATATTTAGCAATGCCAGACACAAATCACACAATTGCCTGCCCCCTTCTACATGTTTGAGCTTTATAGCCCAACCCCGGGCAAAAGTCATATTTTACCATTGTAATGTACATGGAAACACATATTCCTAAGCCCTGTTCTAATGTCTCCTCTCTCAGCCAAATTTACTTCCTGCCCTGGGAATGCCTCTGAAGCTAATGTGAGGAAATCCTGCAGCTGGAAGTGTTGAAGCCACCAAAAGGAATAGTCCACATCATGCAGGCAGTGGCGTGGACACCCAAAGAAGGACCCACCCAGATGTATACAAAAGAGGAAAAGACTCAGGACCCGTATGTCACGTGATCACTGCTTTAGGTAAGTAAAAATGGTGTTTTGCCCAGAGTTGGACTTTAAACTGGATTTGACTCACAGCTATCATGGGTCAGTGTTTACATTTTAATGATACTTTTCAAAGCATGTTATGGGGGTAGGGCACCAAATATGCACACTCCTTTTGGCACTTGTTCAATGTACTGCACATCAGCATATGCACATGAACAGTTTTTTTTTCCACTCATCTCCTGTTTCGAAACACAGTGCCCTCAGAAATGATGCAGTAATGTAATCACTGGTTCAGCAGCATATTTTACCTAGAGTCATCACTTTCCACATCCTCAACTCGGCAGTGTAGTGCCTCTAAGAAAAACATTCTCTGACATCCTCAAATCAATAGTTCACTAGAGTGCCTTCGGAAATTTCCTTGTGCATCCATAAAAATACCACTCCCTTCTCTCCCTGACTGTGTGGCTGCAAATGCCACTGCCTTCGAATATCTAGCTTGGCTTCAGAGTGTTGGGGGTGGGATATTTTTCAGTAAGGAAGTGCAGAACAAGGCAGCAAAAACAAACGTTTTCTATCATCGCATGATATACTCTTTATGTTGTGCATCTACCAAGAGGTAGCCGAAAGCAATAATAAAAGGTAGCAGAGCTACATCACTGGAAGGGCATACATAACTTAACGCCTATTGGTTCAACATGTGCAGTGTATTGCCTCTGTTCAGGAAAAGGAAGACTTGCCCTGCTAAACGGCATATATTAGAATTTATTGGTCAAGTTTCCTTCATCCTAGACAATACCTTTATTAGGTGGGTAAACTGTAAATGAGCAAACATGTTAGTAGCATATCAAGATGAACATCTTACATTTTGAGATATCCCCTTATTATCATATCAGTAGCATTCTACCTTTACAAAATAAGATGTATGTGACATTCACACCTATCTTTCTTATTGCATTTTTCTATTGGACTCCAGCAAACTACATCTTCCTTTGAGATGAAAGTCAATGCATAGAACATATCACTAAATCACAACACACCTCAAGTACAAAGCGTGAAGCACACAGAGGGGAATTTATCAAAACTGGAGCAGACAAAATCTGGAGCAGCTGTGCATGACAACCAATCAGCTTCTCTCTTTCATTTTTAAACCTTAACTGAACAAACTGAAGAGAGAAGCTGATTGGTTACTATGGGCAACTGCTCCAGTCTTGATAAATTTCGTTCACAGAGTTTTAAATGTTATCTTAATCTTTACATCGATCAGCCAAAACATTATGACAACCTGCCTAATATTGAGTAAGTCCCCCTTTTGTTGTCAAAACAGCCCTGATCCATCGAGTCATGGATGCCACTAGACCTCTGAAGGTGTGCTGTGGTATCTGGCACCAAGCCATCAGTAGCAGATCCTAAAAGTTGCATCCTATATAGGTATATAGAGCCTGTAAATTGGGAGGTGGGGCCTCCATGGATTGGACACATTCCACAGATGCTTGATTGGATTGAGATCTGGAGAATTTGGAGGCCAAGTCAACACCTCAAACTCATTGTTGTGCTCCACAAAACATTCTTGAACCATTTCTGCAGTGTGGCAGGGTGCATTATCCTGCTGAAAATGGCCACTGCCACCAGGGAACACCGTTTCCATGAAGGGGTGTACTTGGTCAGCAACAATGTTTAGGTAGGTGGTCCATGTCAAAGTAACATCCACATGAATGGCTGGACCTGAGGTTTCCCAGCAGAACACTGCCCAAGGATCACACTGCCTCTTCCAGATTGCCTTCTTCCCAAACTGCTCCGAAGCCAGCCGAAGGATCGGCCGAAGCTACGGCCAGATCCTTCGGCAGCTTTGTGAATAGACCCCTATGTGTTCAGACACCTTTTTCTCGGATCTATCATTAACTCTTTCAGCAATTTGAGCTACAGTAGCTCTACTATCGGATCAGACTACACAGGCCAGCATTCACTCCACACATGCATCAATGTCCGCCTATGACCCTGTTGCTAGTTCACTTGTTTTCCTTCCTTGGACCCCTCTTGGTAGGTCCAGACCATTGCATACCAGGAACATCCCACAAGTGCTGCAGTTTAGGAGTTGCTCTGACCCAGGCATCTAGCCATCACAATTTAGCCCTTGTCAAAGTCGCTCAAATCCATACTCCTGCCTACTTTTTCTGCTTCCAACACATTAACTTGAGAAACAAAATCTTTGCTTGCTGCCTAATAAATCCCACCCACTTCCAGGTGCCATTGTACCGAGATAATAAATGTTATTCACTTCACCTGTCAGTGGTCATAATGTTATGGCTGATCTGTGTATATTTTAAACAATATTTGAGGAAAACCCCAGCTCTCTTAGGACTCTGAAAAATGAAAGCACATGAGTATGATTGGATACATTAGTGTTAAATAATTATATTGTGTATATACATTTAAAAATATTTTTTAGGATCCTTCTAATGTTATAAACTAAAACAATATGCTCCCATCTCTGAGATTTTTGGTTTCCTAGCATACCAACTACCAACCTCTTTACCTGTTTTGTCTCTAGTAGATTCCTTCCCCTACACAGCGTTGACCCCCTGACCCTTGTTTGCTCACCTTTTACATGTTTCCTATCTATTTTCTATCCTGCAGCTTCTTCGAACATTATTGTTTCTTTTCCAATTGCATGCAGCTATGCTTGACCAGTCTGTTCCTTCTATAATTGCATTCTTTTGTTTTACTGTCCTAATTCTATTTTTATCTAATTGCAGGCAGCATTCCTAACTCCTGATCTCCTATAATTATGTGAAACACAATGTTTTAACAGAAAATGACGATTTAACAAAGCTTGCTATATATATCCTCTCCACTCCTTTCTATCCAAATATATACAGTATAGCTGGATGGATACCACAAGACAATATTATGCCAAATTTTATTTATCTGTCAAATGAGGAAATTTTACTCACTAGTAGTCAGCCATTTAACAAGTCAATGGAGCAAAAGCTATTTACAACCACTAATTAAAACAAATAGCACAAATACTAGCTATATGTTATATAGAAATGTTTTTTCTCTCTCTTGGTTACCCCAGGGAAATTATAAGCACAGCAAGAGCACTTACTCTAAAACCTTTAAATGGCTAGTAAGATCCATTTGTTGAACGTTTGCTCTTTAGCATGAACAGGAAATGTGAAATTAAAGGAAGGTCAGGAGGAGAGGTGGAGATAAAAATAATAAAGTTTCCCTAACAGAATTATACAACACATGTGTGAATTATGCATTTTAATAACGGCCTTTGTATTTTGGACACATGCTAACCTGAAGTACTGCAGTGTACATCAAACAATAATATATTTACAGAAAGGCTGTGTCATTTCTATAACCTGACTCAACATAAAAGTATCACATGATTACATTTGTAACGGTCAGTGAATGTAGAATACTTTTAAATATTAGGAATATTATTCAAGCAAATGTACATATGTTAAATGCAATCTTGTATACAATAAGAAATATTCAGTATATCCCATGGCCTTGAACATTCACAATTTAGGGTCATAAACCTTGCAACTTTCAAGATACTTTGTGCTGCTTTATGGCTGGTTGATCACAAATTAGTAGCAATCATAACTGATAAGGGCCCAAACTGCAACTACAATATGTGACAAATTAAATACTTACACAATATAAATATTAAAATGGCAATAATACTCATAAAGATTTGCATATTTCAACTCATTACACAAATATATATATAAATATATATGGTGTGTGCAGCACTTGAGCGTTTTAGCAAATATATTATATATTGATATAGATTGGACAATGCATACTCACAAATAAAAAGAAAACCTGTAGCTACACTTACATGTTATTATGTTGACTAACAAATATGCAGTAAGAAGTAGTGTATCTTCCAAATGCAATAATACATTATACAGCGCAATGCAGAGTACCACCAGCTATAGAGGACTATAGCGGGACGACTGTACCGCTAGCTATAATGTACTATTGCTGGGATTTGTTGTATTCCTCTATAGCTGTTGATATTCTGCATTGCGCTGTATAATGTACTGTTGCTGGGATTTGTAGTCCTCTATAGTCGGTGCCATTCTGCATTGATTGCTGTATAATTTTACACTTTCCTTTTCACTATATTGCACACCACACTATTTTTTATTTTTTACTTCCACCGCTCCAAGCTTGCTTCTGTGATGGAGTGCAATCTCAATACAAACTAGTAGTCCATCACTGGAGCCATTTTTTAAAATTGATTTTTATTGTTTATCCGATTAACCGATTAATCGAACTTAATAATCGGCTAACTAATCGATTTTGAAAATAATCGTTACCTGCAGCTCTAAAGATTATACATAAGAATAAGCAGCCCGATATACATATTTTATTTCAACTGTTTTTGAGTAAGACAGCAAATATAGCACATGGGACCAGAGCAACAAAATAAACTCATTGTCACCTTCATAATAAAAGCAATAAATGTTCAAACAAGCTCTCCAGTGGGTCACCTTTCACAGATCTGGTACATTATCCATATATGCATTCAAATAGCTTATGAACATTAATTCTACTGGCTTAAACTATTGGATTAGTATGAGAGCCAGGGATCTAGCATTCTCAAGAGGAGCCAA